GCACTAAGGTTCAAATTCCAAAGAAGTGTTTTTTATACAATACATATTTTGTTTAAATTTGTGAATCTCAATCCATTTGATCATCTTACAAGCACATGAAATCAATAAATGCTTATCAAGCCAAGCATGTGCCCAGTATTCTGGTATGTACTGCAGAAAACAGGATGATACAAAGTAGAATCTTGTGAGAGACTGAACTTACAAACAAGCAATGGCCAGATTGTATATAAAAAATAGAACTCTGACTCACAATCTCTGTAGCAACCGGTTCAGAAAGGCAACCACAATCTCTGCAGCAATCAACACAAAATGGCCTAGGCCTCACTGATGACTGTGTTTCCTTAGTTTGGTTCCATTTCCCACTTAGGATCAACTGGAAAAAGCCAAATTCATGCCCTCAACTTCCAATCCGGGTGGGAGGGAATCACTGCACTATCCTGTTTGCCTTGAAGTCATCATAAAACACAGGTGATAGTGGCTGTCTGCTTTGCTACAGCAAGTAGTGAATGCAAGCTGTCCCTTGGTATCCCTGGGAGGTTGGTTCCAGGACCCCACTGATGTTAAAATCTGAGGATGCTCAAGTCCCACATATAAAATCTGCATATAACCTGTGTATCTACTCTCATATACTTTAAACCATCTCTAGATTACTTATGATACCTAATACAAAGTAAATGATATGTTTAATAGTTTTTGTATGGTATTGTTTAGGGAATAATGCCACCAAAATAAGCTTTGTATGTTTAGTACAGATACAATTTTTTCTTGAATATTCTCTATCTGTAGTTGGTTGAATTCATGAATATGGAACCCATGGATACAGAGACTGACTCTAAATATTCTTTGCTTGTTCTCATTTATTTTCATACTTGGAATTTACAGTATTATTATAGGTGGTTTCAACTATCAAATGAAAGACTGTGAATACTCACGACATAATCACAATTTTACCAGCATTCGAATTGAAGTCGTAGTCGCAGACTGGTGTACTGGACACTTAGCTAGCGTCTGCTCTACATACACGCAAAACTTTGCTCCTGTATTCATATTATGGCATATGTTCTTTTCTGGGAAAATTACATTATCTAGGGAGCATTTTAGGGGATTACTCTGAAGGTGTGAGACAATGCCTGATGAAACATAAAAGACTACAAAGAGATTTCCAAAGGACCTAGAGTGATTGATTTTGAAGAATAAAAAGTAAATAAAAATAAAACATAAAACCCATGAAAGAAGGAAAATTGCTACACCAACCAACAGAAATGGAGACTTGGGAAAAGTATTAGGTGTAATTAAAAGGTCAAGAGACAGCAGAATGTTCAAGTTCATTCAACAAATATTGCCTGCCAACTCTGCAATAAGCACTGTTGTAGATGCCATATATATGGCACTATTCACACCATATATTTTTCCAGTTTTTTATCAGTACATATTTGCATACATAATGATTACATTCCTCATAAGGAGTTGGTACATGTATATAATGCATCTTAATTTTTTTTATACCCTTTCCCCTGTCGTTTCTTGTCCCTTCCATCTTTTAGTACCCTTCTCATTTGCAAAAGATCTATCTCCTTACTTCCAACTATCTTTTATTTTGCTCTTTATTTCTATTTTGGGTTTCTCATATAAGAGAAGCCATGCACATTTAAGCTTGTGTGTCTAATTTATTTCATGTAACATTATGGTATCAAGTTGTACATATTTTTGTACAAATACTCATTTTTCCTTCTTTATGACAGAGTAGTCCTCCATTGTGTATAAACACTTTTTTAAAAATCTGTTTATTTACTGATGGGCATATAGGCTGCCTCCAAGATTTATCTATTATGAATTGTTCAAGCCACACATACAAATACACACACACTGAGTGGTGAGATTTGAAGGGACGGGTAATATAAAGATACATGTTTCTAAGACTTATCCACATAGAGATAAAATCAAGTAAGTGGCACATTCATGTAGTCAGTTACCTGGGAAGCCAACGTAGCAGAATCACTCGAGTCTAGGAGTTCAGATCCAACCTTGGAAACATTTTCAGTGGGTAGAGTACTTGTCTACCATGTTCAAAGGCCCTGGGATTGAGAACCAGGTTTCAAAGACCCCCCCCCCCCCCAAAAAAAGTTTGAGGTTATCAGGTCAGGCAACAAATTTCCTAAGACACTTTCAAGTCTAAAGATTTAACCCTGGGCAAGGTATACACACTGGGGCAGGAAGTAAAAAGAACGCCTGAAATGTTCAGGAAGGTGCCACAGGACAGAAACCATGGCAAGGTCTATTTTTACAGAGCAGTGCAGTGGAACTACCTTAAACAAAAATCAAGGGTAGGGAGGGGTGTCAAGGGGCAGTTTAAACTAGGTTTTGAGACTACTTAAAATAAATCTGTCTAGCATTACTTTATCTAATGCAGGAATATTAACAGCACTGTTCTTTTTTTTTTTTCTCCTTAAATTCTCTTATTGGTACATTTTAGGTATACAATACAGTTACATTCATCATTGGGATCTTGTACCTTTA